ATATATATATATATATATATATATATATATATATATATATATATATATATATCTGTCCAATGGAGCTTGTGATCCATGATAATGACAAGACACTTGTCCAGGTCGTGATATATCTTCACTGGGCTCCTCCTGGGCATAAAACAGATAAAAAAGACTTCACAACAACCAAATCTCTACTCACAAGGAACTTATTTGCTAACAAACAGGAAATAAAAAGAAATTGTGTATAATTAACAAAAGCATAACTATAAAATGATGTAGAGAGGAAAGGATGAATAAGGGTTGACCATGAGTGAGTTTGGTGGGGAAGATATTGGGAAGAGAAGGGTTAAAATAGGGAAGAACAAAGTGAAAACGAGAGCAGGTCTGTGCATCTTGGACAAAAGTGTCATTACATCTCCCAAACGATGCAGAATTGCCTGGGCCTTTTCCTCTCCTAAGATGATAACATTCACTTTCTAACTGTGAATCAAAGGCATCTTTGCCACTCTTTGCTCCTCTTCAAAAGATTAACCACTTGTAAAATTGCTGGGATGATTAATAAGTCAATAATTACAAAATGACAAAAGCAATTTGGGGTACACAGTGCTATCATTATTGTCCTTAGCAGCATTAGAACATTTATTACTATTGCTACAACCACAAGTAGATTTTGATCATGATTCAGTAACCCGTTACTAAGTAGCTAGAGAAATTGTAGGTCAACCAACCAATGAGTTCCATTAAAACTGTCAAACTGAAAACACACACACACTCACACACTAAAACAATCAAACTAGAATTGTATATAGTCATTGATTCATCAGTAACTACCATTAAAAATACAAAGAATATAATTGTCATTAAGTATAAATAAGATGTAATACTGTTGGCAAGAAAAAATTAGCTAAGTTAATTTTTTCTGTAAGTGTTATGTCAATGAAATAAATAATAGCTCTGTCTTTTAATGAAGAAAATTAAACAAAACCCACCTGTTGCTCACTAAGCACATTTGAAGAAAGTTGAACACACCTATATTAACAACCTTACTCATTTTCCTACAGGCTGATTCTGATTCATTAGTTATATTTAGTTTGCCTATGATTAGTGAACTTGGACATTTCAATGCACTTTGTAAACAAACTAAAACTCAAATCACCAGGCTAGTTTTCCAGAATTTTCTGGCCCTGTCAGAATCCCAGCCCTTTCAAAGAAGGAAAGCAGTGGGTGGGTCTACACCAAGGGTGATGATCCTTGTAAATGCTTGTAAATGATCTGGGCCCAGCTTTGGAGTGACAGTGCAGCCTGGGTGATGATCTCATTCTATGGAGTTGCTCTGGTTCTTAGTATAGGTGGAGTCTCTTAACAAAATTGCTCCATGTGGAGAGCTCTGGATAATGTATAACAGGAAAATCACAATTAGCTAATGATAGCCATAGGCAACTGAAATGCATTCACTGTATTTACCAAAGGAAATTTAGTAAGCTATTTTTCCCCCTAATTTTGTAAGGATTAAGATCTCATGTAGGCCTCGCAGAAAACCAAAACATCAAAATTAATGTTGTTTGTTTGTAACCTTCCAATAACTTTCAAATCTCATTATGGAATTTTGTCTTAAGATAAAAATGTATAGCTCTCTCTAGGTATCTATAATAAAGTGAAACAGGCAGTCAGCTATCCAGATGTACTGTAAAAATGGTTTGAGATAATATTTGTAAACAACTTCAAGTTTGCTGTTTTCTAAAGAAATTACCGAGATGATGAACCCCCTCTGAGTATTTGGCATCTTGAAGATTCAGAGAGTGTCCAATTCAGAAGTGAAAGAGAACATCCACAGGAGGGTCCCTTGCTTAATGATCCAAAAAAGATGGACTCTGCTCTTGTGCTGAACCAGGAGTCCCCCGCCACGCTCTTTCATTCAACTGTCACTTGGTGGGACACTGGACTCCCTTCCTGGTTTATCTCAGGACAGTGCAGACTGGCTGCCACAGCTCCACACAGCAAAGGCCAAGTATTTCTTCACATAATTTTCACATATTCTTTGGGCAATGAAATGTTAACTTCTTGTTTTTAAAATGAGGAGTTAAACTTCCAAAGCTATGCTCTTCCTTTTACTGACATGAAGGATTACTTAGTCAGTCATAACCAGATAAATACAAGCACTTGTGAAGAATATACAATGAAGGCTTAATTCTTGGTATTAAAGCATTTTAAAAAATAAAGAAAGAACATAGAAGACTGGGGATGTAGCTCAGGGACAGAATACTTGCCTAAAAAAATGTAGATCGTATTTTTCCATGAAGCAGGTATTTTTAAATATTTTATTTTATATTTTTAGTTGTAGTTGAACACAATACCTTTATTTCATCTATTTACTTTAATGTGGCGCTGAGGATGGAACCCAGAGCCTCACACATGTTAGACAAGCGCTTTACCACTGATCCACAACCCCAGCCCAGAAGCAGGTATTTTTAGCCGATTTATTTCTTGGGCCTAAAGGCTATATCTAGGATTAACATCTGGTTTTCCAGTCTATGTAGAAATATGCATTCTGACAGGTCCAGGAATCATATATAAAAATCTAAGCATCAAATTGAAAAAAATATATATAACTTAACAAACAATAACATCTTTGGGTTTTATGTTCATATGATAGTGAATGCAGAAAGTTGAATGGGTTTAGTTGTATATCACACAGGCATAGAAACATCCCTAATATTTTACATCTATAAAGATTTCAAATACTGTCAAAATATAATATAGAAAAAGTATATCAGGAAAATTGGAGCAGAAAATCTTTCCAAGTCCACTCTTCCTCTTGGAAAAGAATATAAAACTATGACCTTGCCAATATAGTAATAAAGAGACTAAATAGCTTGTAAATGCTGAAAATGATACTATAATATTGGCCAAATATCAAAATGAAGCAAAAATACTCACCGGCTGATTTCCAGAGAGTTCAACATTCACTACATATTTTCCTTGTTTTCTGTCCATTCTTGAGCTGCCAGTATCAAAAGCCAAACTGCAAGAAGATTTTTTTCAATTTGTTCGTTGCCCTTTATATCTGCAACGATGAGAAATCATAGAAAAAAAAAAAACTTGTGGGAAATCACTATGATGCATCCATAACAGGTGTGGATTAAACTACATAATACATAGTTAAACAACAAAACAGGATCCACCTCAGAGGAGGAAATGACACAAGATCAATACTCACTCTGAGAGCTATTGCAGCTACCTCCAAACAAGCCTCCTGACAGAAAGAAATATGGTCTTGCATAATTCCTCCTTCTCTCCTAGCTAGCCCTTTCCCATACCTGCCTTCTGTTCTAGAACTGACGCAAATCGGGGAAAAGATCTGAGAGAGAAGTTTGCCAATGTTCTCTCCACTGAGGCACAAATGCCTCCATTTCCCTGGTTGGCACCATCTCTTAGGCACCGAATCCTTAGGGATGCTTCACCATTTCATTTCCTCTGTTCGTCTCTGGAAATCCACTGGGTCAGTTGCTCAGGTAGCTCATACACATTAAAAAATATTAGAATCAATTTTCTGGGCCATAATGGCAAAGGAGTGATGAATAATGAAATGCTTTAGGAAAAGAGTTTTTCTTTTTTTTTCAATCAAGAAGTCTGCTTTGACTTACGTTGAAAACAGGATGAACTCTTCTATTGATTTGTTCACCCAACCAGTGAGAATACCGAGTTCCTATAATGTACCAGGTATTTTCCTCCTGCAAAAATTTCAGCAGCAAACAAAACAGATCGTACTCTTACCCTTTTCATATGACACTTCTGGATGCTGAATTTCTTTTTTCAAAAGTTTGACCTGTCGAAATGTCCCTGTGCATATATTCAACACCTTCAGCTTAAGGCATTTTACAGGTTCAACCAAAGCCAACAGCCTTAAGTCCTGGAGCTTAGAGAACATGGGAAAACTGAAGCTGGGAAGGGATTTGTTCCAAAGAGCAGTTAAAGCCAGGGTAGTTTGCTCACTGTTGGATGAACCTTGAGGATATGATACTAAGTGAAGTAAAGCAGCCACAGAAAGACAAACACTGCCGGATCCCATTTATATGCGGTATCTCGAGCAGACAAATTCATAGAGAGGGAAAACAGAATGGCGGTTGCCGGAGCCTAAAAGAAGAATTAGTATTTAATGGGCATAAAAGATGAAAAATACCAGAGATGGAAGAGGGTGATGGCTGCACAACTTCAGGGATGTATTGAACACCATTTAACTTTACACTTAAAAACGGTTCAGATGGTAAATTTTATGATACGTGTATTTTACTATAATAAAAAAATTGCAAAGAAAAACAAACACATGATAGAGTTACCCAAGTTGAAACAAAGCCAGTTTGTACGGCCAGAGGGACAAGGGAACATGACTTTCAAATAAGAAAACCAAGATGATATAATTATCAAAAAGAATATAGAGTTAACTATATATTTTTTAAATATTAATGCAATTTTATTCTGCAGAGTCTTTTTTGGGTGGGGGGGATACAAGGGAATGAACCCAGGGGCATTTAATCACTGAACCACATTTCTAGCCCTTTTTTTATATTTTATTTAGAGACAGGATCACCCTAAGTTGTTGAGGCCCTTGCTAAGTTGCCTAGGCTGGCTTTGAACTTGCAATCCTCCTGCCTCAGCCTCCCAAGATGCTGGGATTACGGGCCTTCACCACGGCTCCCAGCTGAGGCATTTGTTTTAATTTGGCACCAGAGCAACGTAGCCATGCAAACCCCGCATCCCTCTTCACAGCTTCCACACAGTATATATATCAAGAGTGACCCATCACTCTTGTCACTTGAGTCTCACCCTCACCATCTTGGACTGACCAAGAAGTTGTAAAGTTGTAAGACCCCCATCACAAAGGTTGGTAGACTTGATTTTGTTAATTTTTGAAAAATAGTAACAGAAAAAAATAAAAACAACATATTACTCTGTGGCTAAATTTACCATGAAGAAATCAGATACTCTGTTTTGCAAAGAACATTTCTTCAGCATGCATATTAATAATTCTGTGAATGTCTTGGGTGGGGAGGTGGTTGGTGGTGGGGGAGCTGGGGTTGTGGTTCAGCAGTAGAGCACTCGCCTTGCATGTGCGAGACCCTGGGTTCAATCCTCAGTACTACATAAAAAAATAAACAAGTGAAATAAAGGTGTTGTGTCCAACTACAACTAAAAAACAAATATTAAAAAATTTAAAATAAATAATAATTTTGTGAATGTCTCAAACCAAAGTTTATCAGAAAAGCAGGACACACCTGGATTGCTACAGTGACCAGAGAGCTCACGTATCTTTCATTGCCATGTCATTATCTCCTGTGAAATATCTTTGTTCTTGGCAGCAGGATTTCTTGTGAAAAAGAAATCTGAAAGTCTTGACTGACACAGAGCTGAAAGAAAGAACACTTGGCTGGCCAAAATTAGGAATGAAAAGATGTGGAAGCCACTTCTCTGTTATCTAACAGAGAGATGAATTATATTGTTGCCTCAAAGGTTAGGTCAAAACTATTTTTAAATTAGGTGATGCAAAAAAAATTCTTACCTGAAATTTGAGTATTTTCTGAATAACATTTCTTTGGTTTATTGGAAATCTGAAAATCAACATGACAATTTCATCTCTTAGGTAATATTTTAGGGAAAGGGATTATTATATCTTATTTTTTTGGTTGTGTTGTTGATATTATAACCAGTCAGATACAGAGTTTCAAAGCCAAAGTCAAATACTGACAGGTAAATCAATTCAAAAGTGTGAAAGATCCCTATGAAATAAACAGATACTGAAAAATATATTTTTAAGTGTCCTATCAAAAATTATCAAAGCACTTGAAAGCAATCATTAGCAAACTTTTTAAAAAACTGAAACATTGTGAATTTTTATGTGTGGCTGTCATAACACTGTCAAGGGTCTTCTTTACCGTACTGTTTTACAAAGCTGAGCCAATACCAGGAGCAGGTATTCCTCAACAAAATCAAAAGCAATCAAAAGGTCTGTAGGCAATACAATGGGATTAAAATAATAAGCCTTGTTCAAAATAGAAACTTCAGAAGGAAAAACATGCATATCACTGGATCTTCCAATTCCTACTTATAAGTTTTAAATATAGTTATACTGACAGAATGTGGTCTATCAATTCAATCATTCCTAACTGTTTTTTGAACACCTAACTTGTCTGGGACCAGAACATCAAGTTAGAGACTTAGACTGATAAGACCCCTGCTTATTGAATATTCAGCTTTTACATTTTAATTTTCAATTTTATTTAAAATATAGTATTTTTATTTAATCAAAGAAGATACATTTTTGGTTAATTTAAGGGTATTTTTATAATGTTGTGAAAATGGGAGGAAGGACCTTCATGTTAAATATACACCAACCTCAAGAAAATAAAGGACATGTGCAAACTTTATCTCTGTTTGACCACAGAGAGGGGTCACTGAATTGGTGACTTTTTTAGGGGTTGATATGAGATTTTAGGGTGACCTTTACTGTGGTAAAAATTTCTTTCCCCTACTAAACCATAATTGTCCTTGGTCCCTTGGCTAAATTATCCACTGGTCTCACCATCTGGATTCAGGTTATGATCTTGATGAACAATTTCAAAATCCAAAGGCTTTGAGAACTAAAAACAGGTGGGGGCGGGGAATTTGTTTGTTTGTTTTTATCATACGAGGAGTCAAACTTAGGGCCCTGCACACACTAGGCAAGCACTCTACCAAGTGAGCCACAACACCCATCCTGAAAACTACTTTTTATGTTTGGCCCAAATTTATTTGGCAGTAAAAATTAATCCAGAGCCATAGGCCATTTTATCTTTAATAAATTTAGCACACTTATACTTATGTGCAAAATATAAAAATATTACTGTGTACTACCACGTGTTGGGCATACTCTATGTGAAAGGAAAGCGAGGAACCGGGAGATGAGCGAGCGAGAAATGAAAGACAGAGACCAGGCAGAGATGCACAGGAGAGTCTGTCAGAGCTGACAAATAAAGGCCATCTCTCCATAAATAAAGAGAGGCAATACAGGCTTGTGGTTCGGGACTTTTATGAGGGAGGCTCAGGGATTAGAATCCGGGAGGTCCCAATTTGGGTGGTGAAGGGTTGGGTTGGTATGAGGGAGTGGGGGGCCTTTCTCAGAAAGGCCCTTGGGTGGGAAAGCAAAATTTTTTCTTAAAATGGCGGCTGTCACTGAAGATGGCCATCTAGATGCTAAGCAAGAACCTTACAGTTCCCTCTTTTTGTTTGTTATTGGGCCCCTTAAAGGCAGGGGCATAGATCAATCTTCTGTAGCTTCTTCCTGCTGTGAAGGGGCAGCGTCTGAAGCCTTGTTAGGGGTGTGGGGGTGTCATTGAGTCAATGGTGATGGTCAGAAGGTACCAGGTGATGCTGACTCTGGACAGCCCAATTTTGGTGAGGGGTTGGAAGTCCTGTAACAGAAGCCTGTTCATGGTTTGGTTAGAGATCCTTCAAATCTGGTCTTGAATAAATCTAATGACGTGGGGTAGGGGTTGGGGGCAAGCATTAGCAAAAGGCCTATGACAAGGAGAGAGGCCAGGAAAGGGAGTGCCCACTGGAGAGGGGGTTACTTAGCTGCCATCCTTCAGTTCCAATGGCAGTGGGGAGCTCTGAGGCCTGAAGGAGATCAGAGATAAAGGAGACATTAGTAATTGAAGTTCCCTTGGTGGTAAGGAATCCACACTCCTTCCAAATAGCAGAGTGGGAGAGGAGTATGTGGAAAGCGTATTTAGATAGTCAGTGTAGACATGGAGGGAGGCTCCTTTTGCCAAAGTGAAGGTTCTGATGAGGGCCACCACTTCACCTGCTGGTTGGATGTATTATTGGGGAGGGGAGCCACTTCCACAACCGAGGTTAGAGACTATAGCAAACTCTGCCTGAAGAACTCCCTCCTGAAGGAAGGAGGAGCCATCTGTGAACCATGTGCATGTTGCCTGGAGCAAGGGGCCTTCCTGTATGTG